TTCCTTTTCCATGTCTGGGCACCAATGACCGTTCTTGAAGCCTAGTAATACAGCAATCAGACATATCCACTATGATGGCAGAGTGGTGACAATTCAAAAATTATATTAACAAACGTAATACATCCAGCAAAAAAGGGGGAAAATGTTGTACCTCATGCTTTACTATTTACATTCGTAGAAAGGTTACAGTTTAGTGAAAAGTTATTTAACTTTCAGTTTTCGAAAGTTTCCAAGTGCTTTGTCCTCTGCTCTTTGCTTCTTTTTCTTTCTTCCCCCCACCATGTTCCACCAGAAATTAAGCCCTGGTACTACATATGTGAGAAAGTAAAAACAAATGTAGTTGGAGTAGTTAAAGGAGAAAATGGAAATGAAAATTTTACATGGGAGCGAAGTTTTGTAATTTTTTTACACAATGTTCCTTTTTGTCTTAAGATATTCATCTACCTGAGTTTTAAAATTTTTATTTGTGGTATATATCTGAATTTAATCATAATTACTCCTTGGGTTAGGTATTAATAAAGGCAATTTAAAAAAAAATAATTATTTCATTTGATATGCCTGTTTTTCCTTCCAGAAACAGGATATACTACTTGGAAACATCAAAACTCACGAACCATTAAACATTTTTTGATAATTTCTTTTTAAGAATGTTACTTAGGTTATTCTTCAGTGCTTGAACCTAAATTTGAAGATTCATAAGGGACTTGTATGCGTTTTCCATGGATTTGAATTAGAGCTTTTAAAAATTGCTAGTAAGAATAACAATTAAAATAGTAATTTATTATTACTAATAAGCATCTTCTGTAACAATTTCAGTTTTAGGCACAAGAAGTAACTTTCTGCTATTAAATAAAAATGAATAATAAATATTTCTTTAAAATAAGAAAAGTTATGATGTTTCAAATCAGGCCAAACAACAGAAAAATTAACTTTTTGGACGAACTGGATTAAGATTCATTAGCTTTAAAGTGGTCGCCTGTGAACACTAGTTTCATTACTGCTAGAAAGAATTTGTCCAAAGAATATTGTACTGTTGAAGTGGCAACATAAGAACTTTACATTAGTTTAAATTGCTTTTTAAAAATTTCTCACAAAATAATATTATTTTTCTTTCTCATATTTTGCTATCATGGCCACTTGAACTGCAAATGGTCATGGGATGTGGCGTATGTGCATGCATTCAGTAAAATACAAATAAAATAAAAATTAACAATCTTAGAAACAAACTGTTTTAAGCATTGAAAAGTATGCATCTCAATGCACAATAAAAAATAAAAAATCTAATTTTCACAGAAAAATATTATTTTGAGGTTAACGAGTACCTTCATAAAAGCCCAGTTTTACAGATAATCTTATTTTCATAATAACTTCATTATTACAGCTTCAATTTCCTGTAGTATAAATTAGGGTGAGGGTTCACAGATCACAAGAAAACATACACAGGTTTGGGTTCCTTCCATAGTACACCACACAATTTTTAATTGTCTTTGAAAGTTATGCAAATAAATACTTCTGCAATGATTTACATCCATTATAAATGACAGTATAACATTTACTCTTTAGTTCTTACAAAATAAACTCATGATATTACTTTATTCAATCTTCATTTGCCAATATTCAGGAAAATGTTAGTTGTTGAAAGTATTATTTTGTGAACTCTCTTTACAAAGTATTCTATCAATTTAAAAATAATTAAATGTGTCTTGCCTGCACTACAATTATTGGAGAATGTATTTTATCAGTATTCATTGACCCCAAGATAAAACAATTGGTTGCAATTTATATTAACCTATGTCTGCACATTTTCATTGTTGTCATTCTTGAAAATTCACATTCATCAATTCTTAATCCTTCATAAAAATTCAATTATTTTATGTTAAGATTGTGATTATGAAAAGAACTATTTTTCATGAACATTTAATTTTGTCTTAGATACTAACTGTGGTGGTTCTTATTTTTCTATTTAATGAATGAGATTAATGAATAGATAATATCCATTTATTTTTATATAGGTGCCAATGAATGTAGATTTGAATAATGGCAACATATTAGTTTATTAAATTTAAAAACTTTACCAATTTCAAAAACAAAAGACATTTATTTACAATAATAATATTAATAAAAAAGAGAATAGAAACTTTTCTTAACTGATAACTAAAAGAGAAAACAATACAATACTAAAAGTCCTTTCAACATGCCCAAGTTCCGTTTATGCTTCATGATGTATACCTCCTTGCTTATATTCCCAAGATGTCAAACATTGTCTATACTCTCTACCTTCAAATCTCTGCCACATTCCAACACATATTCGAAGACACATAATTTCATTCTATATTCCAACATGTCAAGACATTAAAATTTTTCTTATCTTTTGAGACTTCAAACTTTCATCCATTTAGTGAGACGACTATTCTGTATTCTGGTTGTTAATTTTGTTCTTCCGCATATCTCATCTATCTCCTTAGTATCTAAACATGCCAACCTGAATTTCAGTCCCAAGTAGGTCATGGACATAAATACCTTCTTAATGTCAGATATACATTGCTTCTTGACTCATTACACTAATGATGTTTAGTTCTTGACATATAGTATCATTTCTTTTTCGATCTTATGGAATGCATCTTACTGTCTGAGAAATTTCATTTCAGCAGCATCAATTTGACTAGCTTAATTGTTAGAGTCCATTGATCAGATCCATAAAGAAGTGTGGGGAAAGACATTACTTTGTGGAATTTTAGGTGTGTTTATTTTCTTGTTGCTTAGAGATTTTATTTAATGTTCACACACATTTTGTTGAATTTAAAAGAAATCAATTGCTTAATTATTATTCCTGTATGAAATATTGTAACACATTTTTAAAACAAATGCTGAAATTATGAAACTTGCACTACTATAATATTGTCAACTATTTTGGCTCCTACAGGGTCCATTCCTTTGAACACCATATTAGTTTTAGAAATAGAGATTTGTAAATTATTCTCTCTACAAATACAGGGTTAAAAAGTGGGCTGCCAACAAATTTTTCTTCTCTCGTCAATGGAAAAGAGTCCTCTATTATGGAGATGTTGATAGTAAAATGATCGTTAAGATTATTTTACCATTTTTGAATGGCATTGTCAGTATGTATGTTAAAAATTGTTAGGGACAGTAGATATCCATGTCTTACTTCACAGTATATATCCTCTGTATCAGGGTTCTTTTTATTAATTCCCATTTCAATAATGATTTTGTTTTTGACATTCAGGCTCAGAATAACTGTTTAAATGCTGTGGTATAGGCTAACATTTTCTTTCATTTTCCATATTAGGTTTCTGTTAACTTTATCAAAAGTCTTTGGCAATCTACAAAAGCTATAAATGAGGGAAATTTATATTCTCTTCTCTTTTTGATGAATTGAGTTAATGAAAATGTACAATCAGAACATGATCTCCACTACCTAAAATCATTGTGAGCCTCCAAGAGCAGCATTTCAGATATAACTTTTAATCTATTTGTTACAATATTTGCATGTAGTTTGGAGCAAGTGTTGAGGACTAATTCCCCTGTAGTTGACACAGTCATTCTGGTCTCCCTTTGAAAAATTGGTATTGTCCTTGCTATCCTCCATTCCTCTGGGACATGTCCATTTGTCCAGGATTCTCTTATAAAACTTACAAGATAATCATACCAAAAATACTGAGACCCATAGAATTAAATAGCAGGAAATATGAAATAGTCTATTTAATTTTACATAATTTTGAATTCTACACATTTTTTGACTACCGGTTTTTCAGAATGAGTCAACTAGAAGAGCTGAGCCTTAAAAAGTCTGTTGTTTTGGAGATAGTTATAAAAGAAACAACTTGAACCAGTAGCCTGAAAACAAGGCGTTCAGGATCTAGAATGCACTTTTTTCAGGGTTTGCAGGGTGGTAATGTGTGTTGTAGTTTGCAAAAGTGTTGGCTGATTTCTGCACAGCTTAATCTTCCAAATTCATGTTTCTTTGCCTTAAATCTGTTTTATTCACCTCTGGGTGTTAATTCTATATTCAATCAAAACACGTTTACAGGGTTTTGTGTCAAGCCATGTAATAAGTCACACAAATTCATCATATTTTCTTGGTGTATATTGAATAGATTTTAGAATGTTATATTTAGAAGTAATTTTTCCTGCATTCATGAAATCATTGATTTTACTATTATTATGAACTGGCAAGACGTGTAAATTTTTAATTTGCTTATATTAGCTGAACAAATACACATTTAAATATTAAGATGTGAGAACATGAGAAAAAACAAAATCTAGTAATTAAACTGTTTCTAAATTTAGTTGGTTTGAAATCATAGTATTGTGCTTTTCCAGGAAAGTTTGAAAATTTGAATTCCTTTAAGCATCTAAAATATAATGATAATTTCCACAGTGTGAAGTATTTATCAGCAAGATATAAACATTTTTCAAGATGAAAGATGAGTTGTGTGTACTCATACCATTTGTTAAAAAAGGCAGTATTTTATGAACATTTTGTAATGAACTAAGGCTATCTCTCAAGATAAAATACAGCTGCTAATGATGAGATATAATTAAAAATAAATTAATGTTTAATTCTTGAAGTAAAAAATACGATCATGCTATAGCCATACCAGGATTTATAGGCTTCCATTTGTCATACCATTTGTAAATGTTAAAAAGGGTGTATTTTGTAATCAACTAAGCTGTTGCTCAATATAAATTATGACTCCTGAAGATGACACCAAATTCTAAGACTAAAAACTTGCAGGAAAAAGTGAATAATAAACTAATGTAGACCATATTAACAGAATTAACTATTTTTCTAAAATAAAATTTTAAGAAAAAACAATAGGAAACATAGTTCACGGCTGCAATAGTGTACTTAATCAATTATTTAGCTTTTAACTCAATACACATTCAAGTATTTATTCTTAATTTTTAAATAACTTACTCACCCAGCAGAACTCTTGTGACACCTCTTGTACAGAATAATCTCACATCCAACCAGTTACCAAAAATAATAATGTGGAAGTATTTAAGAATAAAACATAATTACAGTTTTCTAACTCTGGGAATGGAAAAAGATGCAAAAAACCAATGGATGGGGGAGATGGGTAAATTGCAAATTGTGGACACAGATTTGAGAAAACTAACAAATAAGAAATGATGTATTGAGACTTCATTGCGAATAACAATGAATGGAATGTATGGAATAGTATGTGAATGGAAGTATGTGGAATAGTCACCAAACCCAACTTCATACAAATATTTTCCAGTAAGGAATTTTTTAAAAGTTCAGTATAATTAAATATAGGTAATTATTACATTAGCTTCTTAAATAAAATGAAAATTTTGTAATTCAATACAAGGTAAAAAACAAATGTATACAATAAATAGAAATTATTTGAATTTTGTTTTACAATTTAGTACATGATGAAATATATACAATTGGCAAAAATGAATCTTGGAACTTGAAGATCTGGTGTGGGGCAAAAAAACAAACGAACAAAAATGACTCGTTCTATGATAAAATTCTCTATGAATGTCAGATATGCAGTTGTGAATCATATAATGTTTCAGTTTTTGTGTCCTCTTGTTCATTGCCATTCTCAAGCTTTTGTGAATGATTTTCTGATGGAACTTCCCAGTGATACTCGTCACTGAACCAGTAATCTCTTGACACACCATTAAGAAAAGGTAATTTCAAGATGAAACCTGAAATTATAAAGAAAAAGTTATAAGACTTCTTTTTGTTTACTTTTCATTTGAACAAAATATAATTCTGTAGTTGTACATATTTATTACCTGTGGACAAGCTAATGATCTTAAAATACAGAAATTTAAATTTTTTATTTTGTAAAACTTCTATATAGTTTTGTATTGAATAGTTAATACCTTACAATGAAAAACATACTGTAAGTATTTATCTATTTCAGAAAACATTCTGCATGTCCTCTAAAACTGTCATAAAACAGAAAAAACAGTTTGAGAAAAAGGGATTTGAAGTTTTTTGTATATATGTTGAAGCTATTTTAACTGGAAGCTTCACATGTTCCATGGAGCAACTTTTTTTCATATCTCAGGCTTTTTTTAAAATTACAAAGTATTAAAAACTGAAACTGATTGTGTACTTATCTAAAAATCTTACTTTTTTGGGTTATGACAGGATGTACAAAATTCAGTGTATACCAAAGGTTATGAAAAAAATATATTGTATTTCAGTTAACAAATTCTCAACAATATAATTAAAAATATGCTGATGACAATTTATATCCTCACAAAATCTGTTTGCAATTTAACTTGTTTGTATTAATTTCAACTGGCCCTCTCTATTTAATTCAATCCTGTTCTCTCTCACGATATTTAATCTGTAAACTTCTGATTTGGAGAAGGAAGGAGGCATTGTATTTTGGAAAAAAAGAAAATTTGTGTAGTACAGGGATACAATATTGTTGTAATAGCAAAAGATGAAAGAAAGTTGAGAAAAAAAAAGAAATAGCTAGAGAGATAATAGGTAATGAAACAAAAGGAATTGGATATAAGTAAGAGCAAAATACTATAATGGTTCTTAGAATAGGAGGTGAAGAGAGAGAAAGATAGTGTGAATAGCAAAGCCACAAAGAATAAACAAGTGAAAAAATTTAAGTTGTACCTAGGTTATGAATCCATGGAAATTCTTAAGCAATAAGTGCATGACAGAATGAGAATGAAAGTAATAAAACAGGTCTGAGACATATTATGAAGGAAACTCATTGAGGATTGTCCCTGAAGGTTGTAATCATTTGACACACTAGGAGGAAATGTAATCCTTTAAAGTTCTTGACAATGGGGGTTAAAGGGCTGTTTTAACAGCTTTGGGGGGCTATGGTCCTACGTTAATTTGACAGACGAGTTTTGTATTAAAAAAAAAATACTAAGTGACTTCTTGTCTCTTAGTGACTTTATCACATTAACCAGCAACATTTTGTATTATAAATATTATGCAATGATCCACGACACATCATTCAGTTTTGACAATTTTTTGCATGTAGTTTAATCATACCCCCGTTTTTTATATGATCTTTTATTTTAATTTTTTGAAAAATTTAGTATTATTAATTTTTTTTAAACTATCGGAGGCCCTTGATTATTGGGAGACCTGGGCCTTTTGGGGCCGTGCTTCTTGCCCTTTGATGCCTATGTACTAACACGGCCTGGGTGCGTATTGTGTGTGTAAGACAATGGAATGTATCCATGTTGGATTTGTTAAGTGGAACATAGGTTTGGATTTCCGCACACCAAGATATTTAGTAAGAGCTGAAACCGGTAAATGAAAGATGACAGATAATGCACAAGATATGAAGAAACATTTAAGAAAGGAGAAAGAGAATGTGCAGTTGGAAGAATTTAAAATGAAAAAAATGGAGGAATGGAGAAGATGGTAAGGAAAGAGAGCAATATTCTATTGAGGGAGAGAACAATCATCAAGAAATAATGATGTTCAGAAGACATTACTATGAATGGACATATCAAAGATAAGAACTAAGAAGTACTACAGGGTCATGGGTAACTATGGACATATGAGAGAATCTAAATACAATGATATGCATAAGAGAGTTATGGAGTGGAGAAGACCAAAAAACTTATGAAAAAGAAGAGAAAAGAAATAATATGCTAACAACATTTGCAGTAGGAAATGAGCGAACTGACAACCCAAATTGCAAAAAAGGTAACAGAGGCTCTAAGAAATGTGGGATGGAAGTGGAAAACAGAACAAATATCGGGAAAACGCAGAGTAACAAAGAAGTTTTACGGTATGGAAAGAAACATACATATTAGTGGCGTTAGTGCACAATGCGTGAAGTGCAAGTGTTTGCATCTTCGTTCCGTTTGGCGTTTGTGCACTGTGCATTAGGCATAAGTTTTGAAGTTCCTTGCGGTACTGTGCTTGAAGGATGAAGTATGATGACATTTAAGACGTACTTTTTTGCCGTTGTTGAATTGCTGTGTAGCATTACTTCAGTGTGCATGAGTTTTGGTGTCATCTAACTTCCTTGTTGCGTTGCAACAGTGACACCGGGCATGTGGCATACTACTACGTTTTGGCCTAGTCGAATTTCTTTATGGCGGTAGTGCAGGGCGTGAGGCAAATGTTTTAGCTTATTCCATCTTTCTTGTAGCATTAGACAAACGTTTTTGCGTAGTTGAACTCTCTTGACACGTTAGTGCACTGTCCTAAGGCATGAGTTTGGGCGTACTAGTTGAATTTCCTTGAAGTATTAGTGCGCTGTGCTGATAGCATACGTTTTACCCTACTACTTGAACTTCTTCGTAGAGTTTTGGCTTACTATCTGATCTCTATTGTAGGATTTTGGCATACTATTTTGAAATTCCGTCTAACATCAGTGCACTTTACACGAGACATGCGTTTTGGCGTGTTCTTGTGCTTTCTTTCACTGTGCATGAGGTGCGAGTTTTGGCATATTAGTTCAACTTGCTCGTAGCGTCGGTGCCGAGTGCATGGTGCAGGAGTTTTGGCGCACTAATTAAATTTCCTTGTAGCGTTAGTCCACCGTGCGTGAGGCATACGTTTAGGTGTGTCATGGTGGAAATGAGGGTAGCCATGGTGGTTATTTCCACTATGGGTGTGGTGTAGTTCTGTGTGGGTGCTAGTGCACTGTGCATAATGTACATTTTTTGACGTCAAACTTCCTCGTGGCATACTGTTTGCGACAAAGTACCGGCGGTGCAAATGCACTGTGCGTGAGACGTGAGTGATGACGTAGGGCCAATACCGGAGGTGTGAAGCCGCCGTTGAAATGGCCGTGGATACCGAAGACGGGCGCCATGCTCAAGACCGGCGCGGCGTCCTCGTCGGGCAGACCCCAGAAGATAGCGTCGTTGAACAGCTCCTCTCCCGTCGACGGCGACGGCTCCGCGAGACTGGACAGCACCACGCCTGTACGCATGCGCACCGACGAGATAGGATGCACTACATAGAGTGGCTGACCCTATGCTTTCAGCGCTCCCGGTGGACGATCGCCGAACTACCGGCCGCCATGATTTTTGCAGTCAAAACATGAGAGGTATTACTCGCGCAACTTTTCTTGAACGATGACCGTGCTTCTCCCTCTGGCTCAATAAACACTTGAAGGCAAAATCTTGCAGCGAGCACTGATGACATTCCAAACACATTGTTACTGGCGCGAAATACAAAGTATTTTCTGTTGAAGACGAAAATCTTTGACCGTGGTTTTCTAAAAAAGATCTAAAGAAATGACCGTAGCTGGTGAAGATCCATCACAGGGGATACCTCGAACTCCTGAGAAAGTTGGAACGCAAATTGTTGAGAATGTTGCGAAGGCATGATTGATTCTCCAGAGATTGACATTGCTTCATAAAATCTAGTGGACTATTTCGTAACTAATACCCCCACTCTACCCGCAATTCTTAAATCCATCGTTCAAGAAAAGTTGCGCGAGTAATACCTGGTGTCTGGTGGCGTGTTGTATTCTATTTTGTTGTATTTTCGTTTATCTGCATTATATTAGTAGTTAGAATAACGATATTCGCAATGCCTTTTGTATGTTCGGCATAAAACTGTAAAAATAGAAGAAATCAAACCACAAATATATCATTTTTCAAGTTTGCCGCCTCATTTTTAATTCGTGTGTTTGCTTCTTATTGCAATAACATTCACTTTCAGGTTTTATGCTTACTACAATAACGTTTGAACAGCTTACGTTCTTATGACAATAACCGATGTAGGAAGCAACGTGTTATTAAAGTTCCTAAACTCATTCTCCTGACATACGATTGTGATTTCGTTTTTAAACGATCGGTTTTTGGTCATGAGAGTTCAGAGGAAGAGGATTGATATCAATTATGCGTGGGCCGCGCCCACCCCGCCGTAACTTGTTCCAAACGGAAGACTATAACACTGTTTCTCCAGAGGGCGCTGCTTTGACTAAAAAAAAAACAACAACAACATGGCTTCAATTTTCCGCAAAGACGTAGGCGCTCTATGTACTCGATGCTTTTTTATATTCTAACTCGTTGATGTTCACTCACCAACTGCACCACCACCGGCTGGGTGTGGCTCAGAGCCAGCATGGCCGCTGGCACTGCAGCGTCTTTGGCCCGGAGGTTCTATGGTTTGGGTAACAATGATGGCAGGCTAGCTAGACAACTACGTCGAAGTCGGCCGCTGTCTGGAGGAGAATTCTAGCGGCCAGCTGCTCTGATCGGTAGTTTTCCGTGGTCTCTTCGATCAATACCAGGCAAATGCCGGAGCAGTACCCTAACAGGACACGGAACACACGCGGGTTTTCCGTCCTCTTTATTGTCCTTTCATTAACCCGTACTTACACACAATAATACATACATGCACTACATTTCCTTGCATGCCGAGAGACCAATCGGGAGCCAATAGCTTAGTCCGGTTGGGGTGGTGTCTCGCTAGTGGAAGATACCTGGTAGGCGAAAACCCGTCGTGCCGACGTGTAGGCCGTCTCCGGATATGGTTAACTAGCGGGGAAGATTACCGATACCTCCGGCGGTAACAAAATCGCGCCCTTCACGATACTAATGACAACAGTTGACGCTTCCGGAATCACTAATCAATCAATTAAGTCGAAAAACTCACGCTCCACACGCGGAGTCACAGTACGTTAAGGAACTGGAGACACCGCGGGTTGTTGGATGGTGACTGTTTATGGGGAATGCTGGGAATCTAATGGCGCCCAGCATGTGGCTGACGAGATACAGACAATTACCGATTACGTCTGATGATGATCGTCTAAGTGAACGGAGGATTATACTTGGACTTTTCTGTCGTGGTCGATGGCATTAGGTCATTGCTACTCCTCCTGCCCTATAAACTGAATATTTTCTTAAATAAATTGGCGAACATCCTCAACGGGGTTCGTGGCGTCACAAATGTGCTTACACTGTTAAAAATATTCATTTTATAAGGCAGGAGGTGTAACAAAAGCCTAATGTCATCGGCCACTACAGAAAAATCGAATTACATTTAACACCCCACGTGGTTAGAGAACGTTTTGATGAGAACCGCCACAGAAAGTATCAAACTAAAATGGCGACACTCTCCACTTACACCGTTAAAAATATTCATATTGTATAAGACACGAAGTGTAAAAAATCCCTGATGTCATCGGCCACTGCAGAAAAATTGAAGTACATTTCACATCAAACGTGGTTAGAGAACGTTTTGACAAGAACCGCGACCGAAAGTAACAAACCAAAATGGCGACTCTCTCCGCTTACTGTTAAAAATTTTCATTTTGTATAAGACAGGAAGTGTAACCAAGACCTAATGTCATCGGCCACTACAGCAAAATCGAAGTAAATTTCACGCCAGACGTGGTTAGAGAACGTTTTGACGAGAACGGCGACCGAAAGTAACAAGTGCGTGATCTTGGCACTCCGGGTGACGCCGCGGGTCGAAACGTCGGCAACACAGCCTTCGACGCGGCGTCACCCGGACAGCCCAACACATGACTGGCCGCGGAAGCCCACCCGGACAGCCCAGATCACCCACATGACTGTCCGACTACGACTTCGAAAGCAACGAACCAAAATGGCGCCTCCCTCCGCCGCACCCACCTGTGACGAGGCCTCCGACGCAGGCGACGGCCAGGGTGACGGCGAGCGCCAGCAGCTGGTAGCCGGCCTGGGCGCCNNCCGCCGCGCGCCCGGCGCCGTCCAGGGCGGCGGTGGCGGTGGCGTTGGCGGCGAGGGAGGCGGCGGCGCGGGCCGGGAAGGCCTTGGCGAGCGCCGCGGCGCCGCCGTACGCCTCCGGGGAGGCCAGGCCGGCCGCCAGCGCGCCCACCGCGCCCGCCAGCAGCCCCGGCATGCCGTGCAGGTTGTGCACGCCGCACGTGTCGTGCAGGCGCAGGCGTCTCAGCAGGAACGGCTACGGGGAACACCACGAATGAGTTAAAAAAAAAAGAAGAAGAAAAAAGAACGAATTGGAAGTCAAATGCTTTTACGAACGACTTTAAGTCGTTTACAATAGCAGATAACTTTAAGTTGTCTGGTATTATGAACGACTTAAAGTTAAAGTAAGGTCTTGAGAAAGATTGAAAGTCAGGATTGAGGTGGCAGTTTTAAGTCAGACTTTGTTGAAGTTGGACATTTTACGTTCGAACGTAATCAGGTAGGAGTTAAGGTCAATTGAGGCATATCATGCAGATTGTGCATGTCGCACGTGTAGGGCAGGCGCATGGGGCTCAGCAGGAACGGCTAAGGGGAACACCACGAATGAATTAAACAAAACAAAACAAAACAAAAACGACTTGGAAGTCAAATGCTATTACGAACGACTTTAAGTCGTTTACAATAGTAGATAAATTTATGTTACCTGGTATTATGAACGACTTAAAGTTAGAGTAAGGGGTTGAGAAGGATTTTAACTGAGGATTGAGTTGGGAGTCTGACATTGGTGACATTTTATGTTGGGAAGTAATCAGGTAGGAGGTAAGGTCAGTTGAGGCATATCATGCACGTTCTGCACGCCGCATGTGCCGAGCAGGCGCAGGGGACTCAGTAGGAACGGCTGACAGGAACACCATTAATGAATAAAAAAAATGAACGACTTAAAATCATTTGCTATTACGAACGACTTTAAATCGTTTACAATAGTAGATAACTTTAAGTTATCTGGTATTATGAACGATTTAGTCAGGGCAAGGACTTGAGAAGGATTGAAACTCAGGATTGGCTTGGAAGTTTAAGTCAGACTTTGTAGAGGTTGGACATTTTATGTTCGAACGTAATCAGGTAGGAGGTAAGGTCAATTCAGGCATATCGTGTAGGTTGTGCCGGTCTCACGTGTTGTGCAGGCGCAGGCGGCTCAGCAGGAACGGCCAAGGGGAACACCACGAATGAATAAAAATAAAAAGTAATTAAACGACTTAAAATCATTTTTATTACGAACGACTTAAAGTAACCTATTGTAAACGACTTAAAGTTATCTCGTGTTATGAACGACTTAAAGTTAGAGTAAGCGGTTGAGAAGGATTGAAAGTCAGGATTGAGGTGGCAGTTTTAAGTCATACGTTGTTGAAGTTGGGCTTTTTATGTTGAACGTAATCAGGTAGGAGGTAAAGTCAATTCAGGCATATCATGCAGGTTGTGCAGGTCGCACGTGTTGTGCAGGCCCAGGCGGCTCAATAGGAACGGGTGTGGGGAACTAAATGATCGAATATAAATAATAAAATAACTGAACGACTTGATGCCAACTGCTATTACGAACGACTTCAAGTTATCTACTATTGTGAACGACTTAAAGTTATTTGATATTAGGAACGACTTGAAGTTAGAGCAAGGGCTTGAGAAGGATTGATAGTCAGAATTGACGTTGAAGATTTAAGTCAGTCTTTGTTGAAGTTCGAATTTTTATGTTGAAACGTATTTAGGTTGGAGATAAGGTCAGTGATTGAGACATGCCGTGCAGATTGTGCACGCCATTCATGCAATAAAGGCGTAGGTCTTTTAACAAACAGGCACAGCATTGCGAAGCACTACTCTTGACCACAGTCGTTGTCACGTCCGGAAACACTAATCAATCATTCGCGGCGATGGTGTAACGGTTAGCGGTTACTGTTACCCAAGTTGGCGGACTCAATCCCGATCGAAAGCGTGGATTTTAAGTGCGAAAAAATCCTTCGTAGGCCTTCCTTCGGAGGGGAAGTAAAGCCGGCTGTCTCATAGATTTACTTGCATGTAAATGATCTTCAAGCTTAAATGACGTAGCCTCTGAGCTAAATTCAAATCGCCTGTTTCTCGCCAAAGAAATACCTCCTTTCTTCGCTAGTTGGTGAAAGGAGCGTAGCGTGGTCAGACGGGAGAGCAGGCCTAATGGCCTGAGTCTCGCCACGTGAAATAAGGCATTAATTCAATTCAATTCAATCAATCAATTTAAGTCCTAACATTTTACATGCTCGATGCGAGTGAAATGCCGGGCAACTGGATCAGGTCCACCACTTGTCCGAATAGAAGAGAAGCCGTGTTGGGCTCACCCGACCCCACCTAGATATCTGGGTGGGGTTGGCTCACCTGTAGGCGCGCGTAGCCGAAGACGGACAGGCCCGGCAGCGCGCCACCGCAAGGCGCCTCCAGGGCCTTGTAGCAGCATGTCCCGCGCGTTGCCCACCGCCACGGCGCCGCAGCGTCGCGTTCTGGATGTGCATACGCGTGCGCCATCAGGCACAAGACACGGAATGTAAATGTAAGCCGTGTACAACATATATATATATACTATATATATATATAATATAATATATATATAATACATATCGTTGCATGAGTATAATTAACCCATAAGAAGACACAATTAGGTATCCCAGCGTCTGTTTTGTATGAATGCGTGATGACTTGAGTACATATAAAGATGCCCTGAATGTACGTCGAGATATGGAAGTACTACTCTCTGTCTATCCTGAATTAATAGTTGTAATAATATCGCACCACCAATAGAAAATGACACTAGTGCGCAAATCGCATTTTTCAGCTAAAAGCTGATAAGAGGTTACCAAGAGTACTGCTACTATTCTGAAGTTATTTGATTAGTTCAATACTGTCCGCCTGGAAGGTGAAATATTGGTATATTGATCCCTAACGAGTATTACAGAACTACGAAACTTAAAATTGCAATTTCTGCGAAATCAGAAATTCGCACTTGTATCACTTTTCTATTGGAGGTGCGATATATAATACAAATATACCTGTTCATTCTATTCCACTTTATTTTGGCTACCTGAGATTTTAAATTTTCATTCTCAATAATACTGTCTAACACGTGTTCACCATTACTTACATGTCTCAGGGCTGCTGTAATTACGTACTTTGGTTTGTGGATCTGAAAATTATTGCTCCTAACATTTTTAATATTTGGGGGAAACAATACAGCTGATAACATTTTTAATATTTGGGGAAGAGTTATTGGTAGCTTCTCTTATGACGCATTAAAACAATTACGAAATATCATGCAAATTCAGAAATGTTACAGTAGCGTAACAATGCCTACTGTGGTTTAATTATTAACTAATTTCTGCTATTAATTTTGAAAATAACACATATTACTCTTGCCTTTACCTCTTCTTTGTAGAATACGGAACAATAAATGCGTGGAATCGGAGCAGGTAATAGTTTGCAGATTGAAGGTGGTATCCTGAATTCTCAAACAATATATTTTCTTTCGAACTTAAAGTATTTTATTTAAAATTACCTCAAGAGAGAGTCAAACGGACAGGGATGTTGGGAAAGTGAAAAGCAGCGGCAGCTGTATTTATTGGTGATACCGATCGTGGGCATGTACGGGTGCATACACTGTTACGGGACATAAGTTGATTAGATTCGTAACAGAAATCTGAAGTTATGACATATTATGACTTAAGCAATCTTTGCAGAGCGCCTTGCGTTGACTTTGACGCGTTGGCTCACCATGTCGAACTTGTTGTCGTGGCTGAGAAGCGCGGAGAGGACAAAAGCCAATACCAATGCGACAATAAGAGTAGAAAACAGATGCTGCAAGGTATCTCGAATAGGCGCTGCATGGGAATGAACGCGACAATATTATTAAGTGAACTTTACTCAGCGTTTTGTATTCAATGTCTTGCCTCACCTTGTCGAACTTGTTGTGGCAGAATACAAAGCAGGCAAAGGCAATTAAAAATTCGACAATAAAAATTGCAACCAGGTAGCTCCAACAATGGCTCTGCAGTGCGATAATGCACTTGCGTGACGAGTTCCCAAAACATTGAACGTTTGCTTTTTTTAAAAAATCCCAGAGGTTTAAATGAAACCTTAAGTTATGACGTTGATAAACGAAGTTTACATGGCACATTGCGCTGACTTGGACGCGTTGGCTCACCATGTAGGAGGAGACGAAAGCCAATAACAATGCGACAATAAGAGTAGACAAAACAGATACTACATGGTATCTCGAACAGGCGCTACGTGGGATTGAACGCGACAATATTATTAAGTGAACTTTACACAGCGTATTGCATTAAATGTCTTGGCTCATCCTTTCGAACTTGTTGTGGCTGAGTACGAAGAAGGCAAAGGCTTGACAATACAAATTGGAAACAGGTGTTACTATATAGCTCCAACAATGACTCTGCGGTGCGATAATGCACTTGCGTGACAAGTTCCCAAAACATTGAACGTTTGATTTTTTTTAAAAATCCCTGAGGATTAAATGAAACGTTAGGTTATGACATTGATAGACGGAGTTCTCAGATCTCTTGGACGCTTTGGCTCACCATGTCGAACTCGTCGTGGCTGAGCAGCCCGGAGAAGACGAAAGCCAATAACAATGCGACAATAAGAGTAGACAAAACAGATGATGATACAATGTGTCTCGAACAGGCTCTGCGTGGGTGAACGCGACAATTTTATTAAGTGAACTTTACCAAGGGCATTGCATTGAATGTCTTGGCTCACCATGTCGAACTTGCTAAAAATTCAAAACTCCACAATAAAAATTGCACAGGTGTTATCAGATAGCTCCAAGAATGGCTCTGCGGTGCGATAATGCACTTGCGTGACGTGTTCGAGAAATATTGAACATTTGCTTTCTTTAAAAAATCACAGAGGTTTAAATTTAAGTTACGACATATTGACAAACGAAGTTCGCAGATCCCTTGCACGCGTTGGCTCACCATGTCGAACTTGTTGTCGTGGCTGAGCAGCGCGGAGAGGACAAAAGCGACGGCGCAGCAGGAGGCCAGCGACAGGTAGGTGTTGATGACGGCGCGGTGCTGGGCGTCCGCCTCCACCAGGGCACCGTTGAAGCTGGGCCAGAACATCCACAGGAACATCGTGCCTGCGGGGCACACCGCCGCCAAGATAAGTCGAATTCTGACGCTTAAACTTGCTCTACCCTACCTCTCCTTGAGTTTAAAATTTTTTCTCCGTAACAGCGACCTTATCAACGGCTGAGTTCAGCTCATAGTCAGCGTTGCTGAGAACTTTGCACTCTGATTGGGATGTCCTGGGGTTCGCGTCCCGACTATAGCAGGATTGTCGACGCTTGCTAGATGGTTAGGTCAAATTCAGCGACCGGCTGCTCTGATCGGTAGTTTTCGTCGTTTCTCCGATCAAACACAGGCGAATGTCGGAGCAGTACCTAAAAACGGGCCACGATCTTTCCGTCCCGGTTCCACCCCTTAACTACACTCAGTTAAAAGCGGAAGGGAGACCATTGGGAACTTAAGAGTTGTTCCGCTGGGGCGGTGCCCCGTTAGTAGGAGATACCTGTTTGGAGAAAATCCTACTAGCCGATGTGTATGGCAGCGACGGACCACACTGTCCAGCGTGGGAAGATGCCGTTATTCCTGAGATAAAAGCACACACTACACCAAGGGACTAATAAACAACAGCACACAAGCACACATGTCGCGGAACCGGGAAGACCTTAGAGCCTATCCCGGCTGGGGTGGGGCTCCGCGGTGGGAGATACCTGGTTGAGGAAAACACCGCCTAGCGGACGGTAGGTCGGCGCTAGATCGCGCAATACAGTGGGGTGAAGCCCACCGTCCCATCCAGAGAAAAACATGCACTACATTTACGGGAGTAACGAACCTGGTAGTTGATGTGCCGGGAATCACTAACAATCAATCAATCAAATCGAGTGTGTGGAGCCGCCTTTACAAACGTAGCCCGGTCCCCCTACCCGTTACCCTTTAACTCAACCGCAGGGGTAATCGTGTCTACGTAGGTGGACATGTTCTCTGGTGGAGAATTGTAGACGACCACCCGGACCCTTAGTTTCACGGCGGCACTCACGTCGTTAGTTTGAAGGTGGAGGTGATTAGAAAGTGATGTTTCGCCGACCTTTGGGCAGGATCAAGTGAAGGAGATTCTTCGGAATGCTGTGGAATCCACATATCCAACGAGAAATTACCTTCCGTCAGGTTGGCTAGGTACTCGGCGATACTCTTGTCGGTAGCCTAAAGGTGTAGGCATTGAGGAGACGAGATGGGGCCCCGAGCAGCCCGAACCTTAGTTCATCTTTCAATTGTCAGGATTGTCGGGATACAATATTGACTCTGATACTAGCCTGGATAGCTAGGAACTCTGAGCTAGTTGGGCTGCTGGACCCAGGGATTGTATGGGGAGATTGCCGAGAGGGCAAACTGTGTTTCGGATTTTAGCCTGCAGCTGTACTTGGGTAGCGGGTATGTGTGTGTGTCTTTGTGTCTGTGTGTGTCTGTGTCTGTGTGTGTGTCTGTGTGTGTGTCTGTGTGTGTCTGTGTGTGTCTGTGTGTGTGAATCTGTGTGTGTGTCTATGTATGTGTGTCTGTGTATGTGTGTGTGTCTGTGTGTGTGTCTGTGTGTGTCTATGTATGTGTGTCTGTGTCTGTGTGTGTGTGTGTGTATGTGTGTGTGGATAGAGGCTAGCACCTAGGTGCCTGAGGACTTGTGCCCCCTAATAAAACAATGAAAGCTACACCATCTCCATTTAACTCACCGAGCATGGCAAAGAGGTCGGAGGAGTAGGAGGCTCCCTCCAGCGCGTTGCCTTCGCCCTTGCGGATGCGCGCGCCGTGGCCCAGCACCAGACTCACCGCCAGCCCGAAGTAGGCGCCGAACACGTGCACGAACATGGACGCGCCTGCGTCCACCGCCTGCGCCGCACGCCGCACACCACTTATTATACATATTCATACATACACAGAGAGAGAGAGAGAGAGAGAGAGAGAGAGAGTAAGAGAGAAAGTAAGAGAGAGAGAAAGAGAGCGAGAAAAGCGAAAGAGAGCGAACGAGTGTGTGTCTGTCTGTGTGTGTTTGTGTGTGTGAGTGAGAGAAAAAGAGAGAGAGAGTAAGAGAGAAAGTAAGAGAGAGAGTAAGAGAGAGAGAAAGAGAGAGTAAGAGAGAAGGTAAGAGAGAGAGAGTAAGAGAGCGAGAAAGAGCGAAAGAGAGCGAACGAGGGTGTGTGTCTGTGTGTGTGTTTGTGTGAGTGAGTGAGAGAGTAAGAGAGAGAGAGTAAGAGAGAGAGAGTAAGAAAGAGAGAAAGAGAGACTAAGAGAGAGAGTAAGAGACAGAGAGTAAGAGACAGAGAGTAAGAGACAGAGAGTAAGAGACAGAGAGTAAGAGAGAGAGTAAGAGAGGGATTAAGAGAGAGTAAGAGAGAGAGAGTAAGAGCGAGAGGAAGCGAGAAGGAGCGAGAAAGAGCGAAAGAAAGCGAACGAGTGTGTGTCTGTGTGTGTTTGTGTGAGTGTGTGTGTGTGAGAGAGAGAGAAAAAGAGAGAGAGAGAGTGAGTCTGTGTGAGTGTAGTGTGAGTGTGAGTGTGAGTGTGTGTGTGTGTGTGTGTGTACAGGGGAGGAAACGTCGAAACTTCGCAAGTAAGCTCTAAAGACAATTTTAAGCATATTGTTTCTAATAAACTACTGTGATATTTCGAATGGATAAGCCGCAATAAGCACTCAAAAGTTGGTTTGAAAAGATGCTTTTTCCACAAAAATTTGCATTTTAGAATCATAGAAATACTCCAGAAACATGTAAATTGTTTATTATTTACAAAAGAAATGAATAAAATTTTTTCAGAAATAAAAATTAACTGAGAAATAAAAAATGCAGTCTAATTGTGTAAATTGGGTGTTTTTTTTATTTCTATGTAACTTTATCTTTCTGAACAAATATATTAACTTCTTTTGTAAATAATAAGCAATTTACATGCTTCTGGAGTATTTCTATGATTCCACAAGAGTGAGAGGGACGGACAGCGACATGGGGCAAATGGGGAAGAATAGTATTTGCATGCTACTGTTAAAATAATGTTCTATGAACTTCGTTATTATTGTTACTAGTACACTGCGAATGAACGCCTAATAATGAAAAATATTTGTTTGTTTTATTCTGTACAATGCATGAAAAAATTGACCTTTTGTTTTAGGAGTCGCGTATTTGGTGCGAACTGTGCAATGTGAATTGAGAAATGCATAGAAATGTTAAATTACCTTGAAAATTTGTACTCCCAAATATTCGTTTGCGGTCGCTATTACGATTTCAATGAAGCTCATTAAAATAAGCTGCAAAGGAGTCGTCTTTCCCAAAACGGCTCCCATTGATATCAGAACCGCCGCTGTGGCAAGATCTGCTGACAGTAAACTGCAACAAGAGGACAATACAGAATTATCTCGTAATTATAATAATTTGCAAAATGCTATACTTACTCACGCCTCCATTCTCAATCATTGGTGAATCCAAAATTGTGAAGTAAAGTTACGTTTAATATTATTTGAGCATTTAAATCTATTTAAAATTGCGTCATTTAATTGCGTCCAATGTTATTCAATTTAATATTATTTTATGTTGTGATTAATGTATAACAAATTGAAACATAAAGTAATTTATTACTTTTTTTGTTAAATTTACTATGTAACGGTGGCGGCGGCGATGGTGTAACGGTTAGCGTTTCGGACTGTTGTACCCAATTTGGCGGGTTCAAACCCGATCGAAGCCGTGGATTTTTCAGAGCGAAAAAATCCTTCGTACGCCTTCCTTCGGAGGGGAAGTAAAGCCGGCTGTCCCATGTTAGTAGATTTACTTACATGTAAAAGATCCTCAAGCCTAAATGACGCTCTGAGCTAAATTCAAATGCCTGTTTCTCGCCTAAGAAATCCTCCTTTCTCTCCTAGTTGGTGAAAGGAGCGTAACGAAATTTGCGTGGTCAGACGGAAGAGCAGGCCTAATGCTCTGAGTCTTCGCCACGTAAAATAAGGCATCAATTCAATTTCAATTCAATAACTTAAGAAGCAAGTAGAAAGAACTTGAAGGATTATTTCATAATCTAGAGAGAAATGGCATGTTATTGGTGGAATACCAACATTTCAGTATACAAGACTGAATGGGAGAGGGACGTAGGTCGTAATGTTGGTACAGTGAAGTTGCAATATCTATCTCATCACTTATAACATCACTTTCCTGAATCAGAATGGGCTTATAATGAACGTACGAGGTCGTTTGCAAACTCGGAAAGACACCCTACAAAACCTGAGTTTCTATCATATACGATAAAACGTTGACAGACCTACATTAAAATACGATATATGGCATTCGAAACAATAAAAATATAAAGAATTCTTGTAACTAAATTGTAGGAAAATTTGTCTTCAATTTTTCCCCTATTACAGTCCTCACAGTATCCTCTATAAAATTTTGTTGAACGCGCATACCACACGCTCTACAATGTTTTTAACTCCACACCTGAGTGGATAAATTCCAGATTCATTCGGGGCACTTGACAAGAGCCATCATAAAACATTTAAAAATAATTCATGCCCGTATATAATACGTCAAACTTTTAATATTACTGGCGTTGTATGGTTTTTAATATAAATGACTTTGGAATAACGGTAATTTTGGTCGATCGGTGTTTTTCGTCGAGTTTCGTACAGCTGGGTAAACACTGAGATAATATTTTATTTCGCTTCTGTCAAACAAATGTATTCCCTCCCATACCACCACCATCGCAACCAAATATCACAAACAGTTGTTTCTGTTTTTGACGCAAAATAAATAAATATTACTCCACAAAAAGGAATTGACCCGTTTGGATCAACAGAACTGTCTCAACAAGAAACAATCGAGTACAGTCTGCTTAATTTGAAGAAGAGGATAAATCAAGTTGTACGAATTCGTTAACGCTTCCAAAGAATATTGTTTGCTAAACACAAATTTAATAACATTAAAAACCGTTCTTACTGTTTTTCAGGTTTTGATAATTTCTTTTTTTTCCGTCACCGTCTTTTATTTCGAATTTCATTCAGGGGCAGTCGATGAATAGGAATGTGCATAAGAACTATAGGTTATGAAAAGAACTACGTGGGGTATAAAGAATTGGTTAAGAATTTTTGTTTAGACACCCACTAGTAAAAGCGGTTCTTTCAGAGCACGCTTAGCGTAGTAAAAGTTCAATTTTAGCACTAGGGCTTAATGGTCGATTCTCAAGTGTTGATATAAATCTATGAATTGAACATAGAAAACGAATTATTTCGTCTCACCGCATCAGGAACTACCGACCTTAATGTATGTGATTTGCGTACCTCAATTAAAAATGAAATGAAAGCCATTTGGGCTGTCTAAAAATAATGTATGACACACGTGGTAAAAGTGATTTTTTTTAGAACTGCGCCACTCGGCTTATCGGTCTCGTGTTGCAACCTTTCCTACCAGCAAAAGGAAATATCACTTTTACCACTCGTATCATACATAAATATTTTGTGAATAAATAAAGTAAATTAATGTAATAATAATAATTTATTCCCAGGTAAAAATAAAATTAGCTTTTCAATGTTATTAATGTTCAATGATCAATGTTATTCCAGTGGTTGGTCTGGTAACCAGTTGTGATCGTTAGGAACAATAATTTTCTGTTCGTTGATTGGTCTACTTCTACATATATTTTGTGGTTTAAGGTTTTGAAATTTGTTTTTATCCATAATTTTAATAAATGATATAAAATCTATAATTTTTAGAGTCATAAAAATGTGATTGTATTAGGTAATAAATTCTAATAGTATTGGAGAAAATGTACGTACATTTAGAAATTAGTAATGTGTCAATGAATATGTAATGTGTGAATGAAACGATGGACGGATGGATGCACGAAAATACCTGGTGAGCGAGACGTGAATCTTGGAGTCCTCCTCGAGTTCAAACAGACCTCTGACGATAATGGCCCACTGAACAGTGAGCGCCCCAACCAGCATGTTAAAGGACACAGAACTGTATCCATACTTCCGTAGGAAGGTCATTAGGAAGCCGAAGCCGACGAAAATCATCACGTGCACATCCTGGAAAACTAAGAGGTAACATTGAGGTTAGAAAAAATACACGACTGAATCAACTTTTAACTAACAAATTAACAAAAGTTAATTGGCTTACGAGAGTTCGCGGGCACTGGGGAGATAGACTTCATAAAAACTTGTTAATTTTTTCTCATTATTGCTACATACAACATATAACATAATATGAAATATAACATAACACAAAGTGAAAACAGTCAATTCCATGCCTTTAGGATACATTCTTAGCTCTTGACAAAAATGATTTTACAAGCATAATTTTAAAAGAAAATAAACATGACATAAAATAAATAATAAAATGTAATATAATTGGCAATAAATGTATTTCAAACCTCGATTGTCTGCTAAAAAGCATCCCGCAAACATGATTTCGTATAAAGCATCTTTTCGTCGTGAAATTTCGAGCGCGTTTTGTGCATAATTTTTCCGCTTGCGCATGTACAAGCTATTCTGAATTTGGAGAGGATAGAAGAGCGTAGTAAGGGGAAGTTGTCCTTGCTCGTAGGAGGGCCGAACAACTAGTAGGCAAGTAGTTGATTCGGCCACCGTTTTAACATCCCTGCGGTAAAGCTATAATCCACGCTCATGTATGCGCTGTGACAAAACTATTTATAGAGGGTGTACGTAATAAATGCCATTGCATTTGTTCTACTCTCTAAATGTAGGGACTTTATCTTATATGCTAGTATTATATTATATATGATTATTTTATTTTATGTAATAATAAACAATATATATGTATATATGTATATATGTATATATGTATATATGTATATATGTATATATGTATATATGTATAATATGTATATATGATATATGTATATATGTATATATGTAATATATGTATATATGTTATATATGTATATATATGTATATATATATATGTATATATGTATATATGTATATATATATGTATATATGTATATATGTATATATGTATATATAGTATATAGTATATAATGTAAATGTTATATGTATATATGTATATATGTATATATGTATATATGTATATATGTTATATGTATATATGTATATATGTTATATATGTATATATGGTTATATGTATATATGTATATATGTATATATATATATGTATATAGTATATATGTATATTATTTATTTCATTTAATAGGTAATTATTACAAACAAATTAGCTTACTTGATCCTATGTGGCTAGGCGAAGGCCTTTAATCCATTACACTACCTACATCTTTCGCGTTCTAATCATTCGAATTCTGGTATGAACCCCAATGGTCTCTACATCGCATCAAAGCCGCGGAAAGAAGACCATAAGGCGTGTATATATATATATATATATATATATATATATATATATATATATATATATATATATGAATGCGTTTAATCCGGTCGGTCATGTTTTGGCACAAGCCAAACTAGAAGCGGAAAATTCTTTCGTTTTAAACGGGCTCAAGGCAAATTTTCGTGTGTAACAAACAACCGCAGAATCCAGGAACCTCGTTTAAACGTCGTTCTTGAATGTAGTGTAGATGGCAAGCCGTGCTATTGACTCGGTCGCACAGGCGACAACTCAAAAGTCCACAATTAACGCAAGCCCCCTTCCATTTCTCCGAGGGAAACTGGAAGTGCGGAGGGGAGGGGAGGGGAGCGAGGCGAAGACACAGGGGGGCGTGGAATGGTTGGATGTCTGGGAACAGGAGTAGACAAAACGAATGCAAGGAGATTGTACTGTGCGATGAACCATTTAATTTAATTTATGATAATGGTTGTGTATCTACTAATGTTACCTGTCACATAACTAATGGGGGGATTAACCACCCGACCCAGCTTTATTTTTTCAATTCTTTGATTAATTATAGGTGTTGTGGTGCGTGATGGCTAAACTATCGAAAGCTGCTCTTGTAATAAATACTATTGTTGGCAATGACGTTTTATAATTATTTCACTTCGATAATTATTTGGCGCTTCCAGCGCGCCAATTGCCATGGTCAACTAGTCCCCTTTAGTGTAGTGCATGTTTTTATCATGGTAAGTAGCAGTGATCTCCGCACACTGATTTGTGGATCCTTGCGCTAACCTGCACATTGACTCCCGGAATTTGGCACATCCAGGTATCTCCTAGGGTGGAGAATGCTATAAACTACCGACATGTTGTTGTAGTGAAGGCCGTGTAAGTGTCGTGCTTTTAAGGGGTGAGGATAGGAAAGAGAACGAGGGAAGGAAAGATTGCGCTCGGTTTGTTTATGAGTATGCTGCTCCGCCGTTCGCTCTGTTATGGTGCAATGATCTGAAGTTTTTTTTGTTTCATTACAATCTTTTGCTAATTTGCTCAGTAGGGCTTGGCTCATTATTAGTCCCATCTTCATTTCTAATTCGATAGTTTCCTATTTAGACAGGAAAAATATTAAATATTTTTAATTATTATCGTCAGATATCTGAGCTGTTCTAACCAAACAAAATTCGACATCCCTATTGAATATATCTTCTCTCTTTGTAACCCGCGAAAGCTGTTCTGACGATTGAAGGGAAAGGAAAAATTCCCCTTTGTGCGTTTTCAAACGCTAAGACCTTCAAAAGGGTATGTCAAAGATTCACAGAAAGAAGTATTAATTGATGAAGGATTCTCAAAAATTTCATTAAGAAGCCCTTTTTCATCTCTTGCCACGAATCATGAATTTTAAACTTAAAGAAAACGCTATCGTGCAGCTAACCGACCTCCTATTTTGGTAAATTTTCCCCTTCTTTCCCTTTTCTCTGCATCTCCTTTACTGCTTTAAAAATATTCTTATGAATGCAAGGGTGTAATAAAGCTGTCTTCATCTTTAAGAATTTTTATTTCTCTTTATTTTATTCAAATTAGTTAACCCTTCAATAGTTAGGTGCGGTTTGTTCAATGTCAAGTTGTATGAAATTTCTATTGATCGCAATATTTGGCAACTACCTGTTCCGCCCATCGTATGAGTCTTTTAAATTCATAATTTAAATATATCTTGTGTACATTTTAGTTACACTTTAACGTCAGGAAGAATCGACGGTCAAGTAATAATTACCAGTGTAGTTGCGTTTTACAGAGATCCTAACACATTCTTCTCACAGAGTTTTAAATGTTCATAATTTTTAATTCGTTATACATTTGTATTTTGGCATTGTGTTTGCAATAGTGTTCATTCATTTGTGGGGATTACGTACAGTTACATGTTACGTAGTCTAAAAAAGTACAGGGCTGAAGGGAAGAGACTTAAATGAACCAGAGAAAGATATTTCCCACAAATCGTGAATAGTCTTCGATGTAGTAGTAAATTCGTTTTCTTCCAAAAGTAGGAAAAACCAACAAACTCACAAATGTATTTCGTTGGTTCAGAGGAAGCTCGCAGTTGATCGACACCACAAATGGCATCACCATTTCAGCACTTCCCACCTCAATACTGAACACTTCCACTATCATCTTTACATCGCCAGTCCTGCAACGATCATTACTCTCTTACCCCCATCACTTCTCTCAATACTTACCATCATCATAATAATCATCATTACCAGTGTAGTTGCGTCTTACATACCTAGATCCTGACAGATATTCTTCTCAAAGAGTGTTAAATATTAATAATATTTAAATTTTTATACATGTCTACTGTTGCATTGTGTTTGCAATAAAATTCATTCTTTTGTGGGGATTACGTTCAAGCCCCCTCACTACTGTCGTGTCACTATAACCATGAGTTTCGCCACCACCACTAATGTCACATTCATTACCACATCTAGCGAATCAATACCAGGCAAATGTCAGAACAAGCGGGCCACGGACCGCGCGGGATTTCTTCCTTGTCATATTTCCGTCCCTTTCCCACATTTACACTAAAACACATGTCGGGAGCTTAGAGCTTGTCTCGGGAAAAAAGATGCCTTGTTGGAGGAGATTCCTGGAGAAGGAAATCACATAAGCCAATGTGTAGGTTGGCAATGACCATCCCTCGGGGAGGAATACCGCACCTTCCCGGCATCAAACATTCACCATACTAACGGGACATGATGATGGCAGTTGATGCGCCCAATAATTAATCTACCCACCACCCTCGCCATCACCATATACTGCGATTTTTACAAGTCTGCCTCTTGCAGGTTTCAGCTGTTGACGGTTTCATCCAATCGGGAGATTGAACGTCGTCATAGTGACGTCATTATGGCGACGTTCAAGCTCCCGGTTGGATGAAACCGTCAACAGCTGACACCTACCAGGGGCGGAGTTTCGAAAATCGCAGTATAGAGTTTCTATGCTCGTCAAGTATTATTGTGGTATTTAGTCCCAAACGGTAATTAATTCTACACGGATGGTCCGGGATTTGAATCACGGTTCTTACTGTGGAAAGCGGTAGTCTGGCCGCCAAACTAACACTGCCGAATTTGTGAAATTATACTGCGATTTTTTCTACTCTGTTCCTGGCAGGTATCAGCGGATGACGGTTTATCCAATCGGGAGCTTGAACGTGTCCGTAGCAACGTCACTATGATGACGTTCAAGCTCCCGTTTGGATGAAACCGTTAAACAGTTAAATTCTGCCAGGAGCAGAGTTGAAAAAAATAGCAGTATAACTAGCACCACCAGTCCCGTTACCGCCACTGCCGTCGCCACGAGCATAGGCGTCTCCTCCCCCACCGCTTGACAGTTTGTGGCCGCAGCCTGTTCTTTTGTCGTGGGCGCCTCCATCACCCGGGGCGCCTGCCTGCGGCCGCGGGCGCTCCGTTAAACTCGTAAATTGGCGTCAGCCGCAGCTCCCCCTCCGCCTCCCGAGCGGTGGGCTGCGAACGGCTCCTCCCCCGCCCTTCCACACCCCTCCGCGGGCACTGCGCCCGAACACCGGTCGTAAGGTCAAAACGCGAAGGGCAGGCATTTGTTTATTTACTTTTTCGCATCGACTTGGTTCAGAGCATCAACTGGTTATCAAAAAGGTGAAGTTGGGTGGCTCAGGGCATCTGTGAAGTTTCTCTGACCGGGAGGTTCTAGCTTCGAGTCCCGAAGGTGAGATGATTTTCGACACTAGCTAGATACAAGTAACTAGGTATGTAACCTTGTAACTAGGACGAATTCCACCGCTGTTTGGAATTCTAACGGCTGGCTGCTCTGATCGGTTGGTTTCTCTGATCAACGTCAGGCGAATACCGGAGCAGTACCCTAACAAACGATTCATGACAGCGCGCGATCTTTCCTTCCTCTTCCTTGCACTGTCGTCGCCCCTTACAAGCACTTACACTTATCTGCCACCCATGCCGGGAGCACTTACACCTACAGGTTCACTTACTTTACCAATCGCGAGCTTAAGAGCTTGTCCCGGCTGGTGGGAGATATCTTGATCGAGAAAACCCTGTTAGCCGATGGTAGATGGACGTCGGATCTAACTTAATGAGACTGAAACCTTTATTTCTCGGGGTACTTTACATAAAGTCTGAACATTTTCCAATTTTTCTCAAAATTAGCTTTAATTTTTTTCAGTATAGTTTATTTCTCGGAACCCGCAAAGAACGCTTAAAGAATGGCGCATGTCTCATTTTCATTGAAATTTCTGTTTTTTTTCAGAAATTGCAAAAGTTTAAAAAATTTTCACCGTCTTTCTGCAAATACAATACGATATTGAAGATTTTTTTCCTTAATGAAATATGTTCATTTAAGCCAGATCTTTAAGTAAGGTTATGTACAATTTTGCAAAAATATGAATAGTTTTCGCGTGTATGAAAATATGCGAATTTTGTGTGAAGTGTAAACAATTTTTAAACTATTTCTCAAAAACGATGCCAAATTATTTTTTTAAATTGTCTACTTGTGTGTATCAAAGGAGGTATGGTTTTCAGACAACTTTATTTTGGAAACTTCCAAAAACTTAACATTGCAAAAGTACAATACTGAATATATATGAAATCTGTTCTAGAAAATCTGATGTTTCCAAAGGTCAAGTTGTCAAAAACTGCTCCAAACTTTTGTGCGGAAAGAACAAGGGACGCTTAATATAATGTTGCTGGTCTCATTTTCGTTGAACTCTTAAATTTTCAAAAAATTACAGAAGTTATAAATACTGCAAGAAAGCGTGTGCTTGTAGCACCAGTAGTTTATCGTATGAATTATAGTGCGGGAACACGGCCATTGACCATTGTTCCACCTCTGAGTATTCGACTCAGGTTACCTTTGAAGCGTACCGCTGGCGCTAGTCTAGGGAACCTTCTTCGAGCATGTGTGCCTTGTGGGCGTCCCCTTTAGCGCCCGAGTGTGACTCTGAGTGGGTGTGTAAACACGCGATAGACGCCGAGGAGACGGACAAGAAGACTCGGAGAATCAGGGACGATAGGAAATGGAGGAGGAAAAGAAAGGAGAGAAACATTGCGTAGAAAGTTTATTTATTTATCGTATGGGTTATTGAGAGGGGAAACGGTCATTGGGCAAAGTTCCGCAACCGAATATTGACTCGGGTTTCCTTTGATATTTACCCCTGGCGCAGGTCTAAGGGGACCTTCGAGTAGAGGCTTCCCATAGGCATCCTTCTCGAACCGTAGGACCTCACCGTCAGAGACCATGAAGAAGCAACATTTGTTACGTCATGAGGGATGATGAATTGCAGTGCAGCAGTGTAGTGCATGTAAGTGAATGTGTGTATAAGGAATGGGTGAGGAAAGAGGAAGAAAAGATCGCGCACTGTTTTGGTGGCCCGTTTGTTAGGGTACTGCTCCGGCATTCGCCTGGTGTTGATCTTAGCCATCACAGCCGGGAAGAGCTCTAAGCTCCCCACCGGTCTCCCGCCATGTGTGGAGTGTGGTGCATGCTAGTGTAAGGGGTGAGGATAGGACAAGGAAAGAGGAAGAAAAGATCGCGCGCTGTCTTTGGCCCGTTTCTTAGGATACTGATCCAGCATTCACCCGTAAGTGTAGTGCAAGTTTTCCTCGGAAGGTGGCGGTGATCTTCTCTCGCTAGATGGTGAGATTCGGCGCCGACTTTCCGGCTGGCTAGAAGGTTTTCCCCACCAGGTATCTCCCACCAGCAGAACCCCGGCTCCCGGTATGTGTGGAAGTGTAGTGCACGTTAATGTGTGTGTGTGTGTGTAAGAAAGGTGCGATGAGAGAACAAGGAAGAGGAAGGAAATATCGAGCACTTCTTTGGCCGTTTGTTGGTACTACTCAGGTATTTGACCGGTGATTGTCAGAGAAATCACGGGAAACAACCGATCACAGCAGCCGGCCGCTAAAATTCTCCGTCAGACAGTGGCTGAAACCGGCATAGCTGTGTAGCTAGTGTCAAAAATCCGCCAGTGTCAGGTGTAAAATTCTAGAACTTCACGGGCAAATACGCTGTGTATAATCAGTGGCAATGCTGGCTCCGAGCTAAACTCTGCCTGTTTGAAGCGCGATATCGTATGGGTTACTCACCCTTTCCAGCTTGGCGTATGTACCAACTCTAACTTTACGATGGAGCTACATCGGAAACCAATACTCTGCCAGAATAATAGGGTAGTCACGTGACTTTCATTGTGACGTGGACATGATAAAGGGAATTTTTTTTCCAAATGTGGGTGTTCAGTGGGCTTTTAATTCTGTGTTCCTTTGAAGTAATATAATGCTCGTGGTCAGCTGCAGTCTAACAAATGAAAACCCTGGGGACATGTCATTATGGTAATTTAGTGTTGGGAACTCATTTTGCTTAGTTTGGAGCTCTTTTATTATCGCATTCTTAGAACGAAAGTATTGTGGAAAACGATTTTAATATACAGGCCATGTAATTGCTTCTACCGTGCATGTCATTTTACGATACCATGTGCAAAACTCCCTATTTTCAGTTCGAAGTTTGGGAGGAGCAAAGTTTTTGTCGCTGTGACAGGCGTTTTGTTCAGTTTGTTGTGGCTTCTTGTTCTGCTGTCGGTAAGTCAGGAATCAATAGCGGTTGCAGACCTTTTCGCCACATTGTTACTCTATTATAGGTTTGATAAATTTATGTTAGCACTTTCAATCGCTTTCACCTTGCTTGACGTAACCTACTAAAATATTATTAATATATTGCTGGTAACGTTGATATCTTCTTAAATTATAAGTTATTGAGAGATAGGTACCGATTAGAAATAATTTTTTTAATGGTTTGAGGTCTTTTCCATAGTTAGTGATCGTCATCAAATCTTTAACAAAACATTTTTATACATATTACAAAATTTATCGTACTTTTTATACATATTATAAACATTTTTGACGTTCCGTCGAAGTCGTGTATGAGGATTGGGGCAGAAGTCATTGAAACTATTTTTTTTTGTAAAATAAACGTTATAGGATCTCACAAATCTATTTGTCGGGTGAAAGAAAAACTGTACTAATATGTGTTCACTACAACAGATGGTTCTGTATTAACACACAGAGCATTGTGAAATCAGTCTTTCGCCATGCGAGATGAATGTAACTCTTTTGAGTAGCAGTCTTACACAA